ATTTAGATTTAGTCATTATTCATCAGCAATAATCAATTGTAACTTCATTGGACAAAATTCATTTACATTTCTATAGACAAGAATCATTTGCATTACTCATAATTTTTCTCAATTTATAGAGTTATAAAATAGCTCAAAGAGATTGAAATACACAGACAACTCTGAAGAGTACACTAGATAGGATGCCCAGTATTTTCTTTTTACCTTTTCATAGTTTTTTACATAATTTTTTGTTGTTGTTATTAGATTCAAGCTTAATAGCCACAGTTTTATCTTGGTGATATTTTAAGTGGCCAAACTATGTAAATACATATATTTAAGCCTTGTCTAGAAATACTTAGGAGATCATTATAGCTTCTTATTTCATTTACATTTTGAATGCTATCATTTACAAGAAGTAGTTTGTACTAGAATGTAAAATAAGGAAACATTTTCCCTTCTCTAGTTATAAGAAACTTTTAAACTATTTACTGAGGTACTTTACATAATATACTTTTAAGTATGAAAAATAGTTCATGTTTTAAAAACATTTTCATTAATGTATACTCTCCGTGTGTGAGAGATTTTTAGAAATATTTTTTCTATAATTTAATAAATATTTTGGAAAGAATGAAAGCTAGTTTGATATCAGAACACAACTCTAATGCAAATTGATGTTAGGGAAATTTAATCAGCTTTGTTTTATCACAGCAAATTGAATGTCTGGCCATTATTAATTTGTAGAGGATACAGAGCCAAGTTAGTTTCCTAATATATCTTAACTGAATTATCTTTTTTTGTAAACTGCTGCAAAGATATTATCTTCGAAAGCACACAAGAATAAGACAATTTTCTGGTTATGTCAGTAGAGTGTCCCAAAGAACATTATTGAGTTTTATTTATAAATATTATCAAATAAAGATTGAGTATCAACACAGAGAACAGAGTTGTGACTCAAAAATGTAAAGTCTATATAGACACTAAAGAGTTTTTCAGTTCTTTTTCTCATTTAAATACTTGTCCTAAAAACATTCTGATGAATCTCAGTAACTAGTGAAGTCATTACTGATATGGTAGCTCCCTGATCCTGCTGTGGAATGAGGAAGAATGAAAGGAAAAGGTGGAACCATAAAGCTCTAGTTTAGGAAATTGATAAATTACCCACAAGGGTATTTAAGAATGAATTTAAAAGAAACTTTAAAATGAAAGAACTTATGTATCAGGTAAAAGCTGATCATAAGTTTTCCAAAATATTCTTGCCCATACTGTGAAAAAGTGATGATACTCCTCAGGGCAGAACAGCAGGGTGTCCATTATGAAGTCAAGTAACAATTAACAGTTATCTAATTACATCATCTTCTGCTCATCTTTATTTTGGTCATCAATTGACCTCTTAGATGACCTTCATAATTCACTGTGGTCTTTATATCCTGATTTATAAAGCTTTTCTCCATCCAGCTTCTACTATAATCACAATTCCAAATTCATAAAAACAACCCTCCTAACTGCCTAACCTAAACAGTTTTAGCTTTTAACAACCTTTAATCTTATTTCCATAGACATATAAAAGCCTCTCTCATCACTTGGAACTGTCTTACCTCTGTTAAACTCTTGAGTACTTATTTTTGGCTAAAATCTTCTACCTTTTCAACAATTTCTTTACTTTCACCACATATATTCTTGAAAGATAGGCCTTGTATATTTTTTTAAGCTTGTGTCTAAGTATTTTACATTTTTTTTTTACAGTATTGTAAATGAAATTCATTTTTAAATTGTTTGATCCTGGTATACTATATAATTATAATGAATCATTGTGTTTCTCTTCAGTTCTTTTAAATAGTTGTTTTTGTTTTTGTTTTTTTTTGACATTTTGCTCACTGTTTATAATTATTATCCGTAGGAGGGCTATGTCAGTACATTTTTAGACTTAATTAGTACCATTAATTATATGTGCAAAGTCCCTTTTGCCATGACTTCTACTCTGCTGCATGTCCAGACATGATTACTCACCAGAGCCCCAGACTCAATAGTTGTAGCTAATTTTCATGGAGTAATTGTTAAATTCTAGGCATTCATCTAAAGATTTTAAATATATTAGGTCATTTACTCCTTACTAAACCTTATTGGTTGAATTGATTCTTCTTAAAGGTGAAAAAAATGATGCAGACAGAGCTTAAAATAACTTGTCCAAAATCACATAGATCAATAAGTTACAGATCTGGGTTTCAAGCCCAAGAAGAATGTCTTTACGACCTGTGCTCTTAACCATAAGCCATGGCTTCTCTATATTTAATTTCCTAGGCTTCACCTCATGTATAACCAGGCTCTTTAAACTCATTATTACCAAAGCAGAACTCCAATTTTTCCCCCTATCTGGTGGTGAGTCCTACATTTTCTGTCCTTATAAATGCCACTATTATCTATCCAGTAAAAGGAATTATTAAACGTCTGATACTCTGCTAAGGATTTTAAATGTATTAACTCATTTAGTCCTTCACAAAACCCTATGACTTGGATTATCCCCATTTTAAAGATGAAGAAAATGAGATAGAGAACTTAAATAACTTGTCCAAGATCACATAGTAAATAAATTGGAGACTTTTTAGACTTAGGCTTCTCTTTCACTCCTGAAGTTCAGATTTCTGAGTACTTCGAAATGCAAATAAAGGACTCTGACCTGGTCTAAGTCCATTTCTCTAGGCTTATCTGCTCCATTGTTCTCCTTGCCAGAATTGTATGACCCAGACAATCAGAATATTGGCACTTGTCAGAGCATGACAAACTATGCTACTTTCTCTGCTTTATTTTAGCTCTGAAACCTTTTTTGTCTTCCTTCAGCCTGTTCTCCAGATTATGTTTATGAATATTTTGGTCATAGTTCACTCTAGCTTGTTACATAGTGCTTTCATTATGGTACTATAAAATTACATTTATATATTATGTACCTTTGTTTTTCTTTACTTTTTATAAGCTTCACACAGTTATAACATCTCATCGTTATCTTTATATTTCTGGCATCTAGGGAATGAGCCAAGCATTAAAATGCACAACTGTTGAATAAATGAGGATGAATGAATAAATCCTTATAAGATCCATGACATTTCCCAGGTTCGACAGAGTAACCTGGTTCACCTTTCTTTAGCCTGTTTTAGTCTACTAGGGCTACCATAACAAAATGACAAAGACTGGGTGGTTTAAAAAACAGAAACTTATTTCCTCACAATTTTAGAGTCTAGAAGTTCTGTGTATACATATCCTTAGTGTCCCTTCGTTTTTTTATGGTGACACCAATGATATTGGATTGGGGCCCACCCATATGATCTCATTTAAATTTAATTACCTCTTAAAGAACCTATCTCCAAATACAGTCACATTCTAAGGTACTGGGAGTTAGGACTTCAACATATGTATTAGGAGGTGGAGGGCACAATTCAATCCATAATAGAGTCCTAGAAGAAGCTTGCATTTAGTAAGGCTTATGTAAAAGTTCTGCAAATCAGGCATAATCTTGTTTAGATGCCTCTTCGAGAATCTAAGCCATGGTTTGTGAGGACTGTATTATAGCCAATAGAAATTTTAGAAATATTAGCCAAATATGAATATTATTAAAAGTTATAATAAAGTTCTATGCAATAAGTGAAGTTCTTTATCCCATTTCTGCATGTCTATTTTGAAGACATCTAATTATCAATCTGATTGATTGTTATAGTTTTAGTAATTTAAAAATATCTCATTCTGTTACCTTTCCTTTTTTCTCCTAGGGCTCAAGAAATATATAAAAGACACTGTGAAGAAAAATTTGTTCTTGATATGATTACTTTTCAAAAAGCTTGTGAAAGATTACAAGATGCGAAAACAAAAGTTGCACTTGTGAAAACGAATTTAGTCCTTAAAGTTCCTAGTGGAATAAGAGAATGAACCAATTCCAGATCACATCCTGTGGTCATTTTGAGTTATGGCCATTAGTTTTATTGAAAGGACTTTGAAGTAATACTATGAAAAAGAAATACTCTGTCACAAAATGGATTTTCATATAAATCTTTTTAAAAATATAGAGTAATGAAAATGTTTCTTTTTGATCACAATTTAACCTAAATCAAGTTGACTTGACACCTCCTAAAGATTCCTTATATATCCATGTGTCCTAGCAACAATTAAAACTGATTTCACTTATTGAAGGAAATATTGCAAAAGGCATTGCTTATATTGTTTCATATCCTGAGTATAGCAATTCATAAGCCATTTTCAGTTTCTCTGGCAATCTTAGCATAGTAATTTCTGCCCCAGCTGCCAACTTTTATTAAGACACTGTGTACTTTGATTAGTTTCATTACCTGCTTTCATGTATTTAATTGCATTGCTTTTTTATTTTGCTAAATTATTTCTGAATTTATTTTTTCAAAATAAAGTTTTCACTGTTATATCAGTGATTCATACTCTTATAAAAATGCAGAAAATTTAAAGTATAAAAGAAAAGTTAAACATTCCTGTTAACTTTCTTGGATATTATAAGACTGTGTATATTTGCTTTTGATATGTTTGCTTTTTGCGTATACGTGGGGGCAGAAAGAGAGGGAGAGAGAGATAGAAAGTAGACACGCATATTTATATAATTGTGGTCATAAAGTATATCGGAATGGTATGTTAATTCTAAGTCTATTTAATACATATTCATGGTAGAAAATTTGAAAAATAAAAAACAAAAAGATATAGAAATTCTTTGTAAATGTTGAGCCAGTCAATTTTCAAGTGTTTTCATTTATCTAGAAAGATAAATGTCACTATTATTATGACATTGCTCACTTAATAAAATGTAGCTAATTCTATTCAAAATTTGTCTTGAATACTCATCAGTTATATATGCAAGTTTTTTAATTCTCTAATTTATTAGTCTATGGTAAATTTCCAGAAATTAAGTATTTTACAACAATAGTCAATCAGTTGTGCTTCTGTGTAGATTGCTAAAAAATACTGGTTCTAATTTTCTAATTTTTTGTAAAATAATAGCTATTTAAATCCATAGCACCAGCTCCCAACTTCCTATTAATTTGAAGATAACTAATGAGCCATTCTTACTTGTATTTCTAATTATTTTTCAAAAAGAACAAAGGGAGATATTGCAAGGTGGTAAAAAGTGTGATAGATGTTGTTTCCCATAACAAGTTAGATAATCTTTCTGTCACTCCAATATTCTGTTCTATATTTGGAAATAATACACATCTTTTTGGGATTTAATGAAAATTATAATTCACATCATATACTGTTGTTATGAGACTTAAAAGAGAAAAACACATAAAGCAACACAGTGCTTTCCATAGAATAAGCACTTAATAAAGGTAAGTGTGTAGTAGTGAAAGCAGAAGTTTTCTCTGTGTAATTATCAGAGGATTTGTCAACCATGCAAAATTTGAGTACACCATCAAGGCATAGTAGAATTTTTTGTGTGATATATTTAAATATAATTCATTCATTCAGTCAGTATATTTATTGGCTGTTTGTTATCCTTCATCTGTGCTCCCATTCCACAATATGGATCTTTTATAGCCTTTACACGCAATAGGTAATCAATAATTTTTTTTGATTATTTCTACCCAATTGTGAGTTTCCTGAAGGTAAAGACTATTTTACTTGTCTGTGTGTTTCTATTACTTTGTACTAAGACAGATATTATATTATTCAATGTTTTTTTCTGCTTATATCTCTCTTATCCTATTTATGTGCTGCCCAGGACTATCTCATTAACTTTTCTGCCACTTACTGTTTATAGTTTGAAGATTCAAAAATATGTATCTGTAGGTTATATCTTTAGTTTTAATGTTTCCTATATTTCCAAATGCACACGAGAAGCTTTTACTATGAAGGCCTAAAATATTTTTTAAATAATACATTAAAATAGAATTCTTTATTTTTAATTATTTTTGCCCTCTTCAATCTTGCTTCTCCTTCAGTATTCCCAGTCTCTTGTCTACGGCCATGCCACCCTGAACATGCATGATCTCGTCTGATCTCGGAAGCTAAGCAGGATCAAGCCAAGTTAGAACTTGGATGGGAGACTGCCTAGGAATACCAGGCACTTGTAAATGTTAAAAATAAATAAATTAATTAATTTTTAAAAAGATACACTTAAAAAAATATTCTCAATCTCTCATAAATTTATAACCATCTAAATTATTTCTCATATTAAATCTTTAAAAGATATCCTTGACTCTTTTTTCCTACCCCACCACATCTTATTTAATATGAATACCAATAAATTTTATCTACAGAAGGTCTCTGTGACAGAGACTAGAGGTGAGCTTTTCACCAGACCTATTTTCTGTTTTTCCAGGACACAATTAGTTTATATTTCCCAGCCTCCCTTGCACAGTTAATTGAGATGCAGGACTGAATTCTAACCAATGGAATCTGAATAAAATGATTGGTAGCCCTTGCAGGTATGTACCATGCACTAACCTCCATGATCTTTCCTTTGACCACCTAGGAAAACATGTTAAAGATGGCTCAGCCATAATGTGAAAAGAGCCTAAGTTCCTGAGTCACTGAATATAATATATCAGGAAGAACTCTCTTGTTCTTTACATGATCCAAAAGAGAAGTCAGTTAAGGGCTTTGTAACCCCATCAATTTACATTAGGCCAACAGATAATTGTGATTAATCATTAGGAAACTTGGTATTAAAGTAAGAAGGCTACCATCACAAAATCTCAGCATATGTGCTTTTGGTTTTCCTGGGTAGTGAAGCAACTAATATTAAGGATAAAAATACTGGAGATTCGAGTAGCTCAGGGGATGGCAAACTTTTTGACTAAGGACCAGATAGTAAATATTTTAGGTTTATGGACCATACAATTGCTATTGCAACTACATAATTCCTCTGTTGTAGCACAAAAGCAGCCATAGATTAGATATAAACAAATAAGTGTCATTGTATTACAATAAAACTTTATTTACAAAATAGGAGGCTCCTCAGGTTTGGTCCATGGGCCATAGTTTTTCAACCCTTGGCATAAATAGTTGGACTTGTAATTTTTAGACCTTACAAGCAAGGTTTCCAGGTCCTCTCTTCTAACCTACTAAAAGTCTTAACTACAACAAATTTCTCATATAACTACTTAAAACCTTCTTTATGCTAATAAAGCTACCTTTAGGTGTTGTTATAGATTAAAATCAGCTTACACATGCTATTAATATTGAAGTTTTTCAAAATAAGTCACCATTAAAAACAACTTATAAATACCAGGAGAAAATTTGCTTGGGGAAAAAAAAAAAAGTGCCATACTGAAGCCAAGGTTAACATGAGGAAATTGAAGCAGATTATACTAAAAAAGGAGTGATAGGTAAAAAAAAAAAAAAAAGGGGGGGGGATTAGAGCATTTTGGACATTACTGTATCATGATAAGCACACAGTTCATGATAGTAATACTTCTGTATCAAGGCAGTAGAGAGTTCATAACTCATGAGAAATGACTCATTCTCTTGAAATTTGCCTGGTATCTTTTTGATATTTTGTATTGTATTTTGAAGAAAATGTTTTTTAAAATTACGTATTTATCTGCCAGAAGAAGTTAGTCTTGGAATTGCAGAAGCTTACAAAGCCTGTCTAAGGCCTTTATTGAATGTGTGAGGATAATGGGCAGAAAAAGAGCAAGAGAAAGGAGGCCATTACACAAATATATGTTCATTCATGTAACCATATAAGGGCAAGCTTAAAAAAGACACTCTAAAATTGTTCCCAGATAAAAGTTTTCTGCCTGTTATTTAACTCTTCTCCTTATTATTTTGACTACTTATTAACTATAACAATTTGTTATTGGATACAGAATATTAAAAAGAAATGTAAATTTAAAATCAATAACCTAAAATGTGAGTGGGGTGAGAAGTAAAATTGTAGAGTTTCTGTATGCAATCAAAATTATGTTATCAACTTAAAATAGGACATCATAACTGCAAGATGTTTTATGTAAAACTCATAAAGAAAAAACTGTAGTAGGTATGTGAAAGATTAAGTAATCAAAGCATACTACCACAAGAAGTCATCAAATCAATAAAGAAGAAAGCAAGAGAGGAAGAAAGGAACAAAGAAACTACAAAACAGTTAGTAGAAAATTAACAAAGACAATAGTAAAGCTTTACCGATAATTTCTTTAAATTTAAATGGATTAAATTCTCCAATCTAAATTAGATTGGCTGAGGGATCAAAGAACACTACAGAAATCAATAAATGTGATACAACATATAAATAGAATAAAGAGAAAAATCATATGATCAGGTCAATAGATGCACAAAAAACAGTTAACAAAATTCAACATTCTTTTTTGATAAAACCTCTCAACAAATTTGGTATAGAAGGAACGTACCTCAGCAAAAACCACATATGAAAATGCATACCTAACATACTCAGTGAAGAATGGTGGAAAGCTTTCCCTCTAAAATCAGGAACAAGATAGTGATGCCCGTACTTACCATGCCTTCTCAACATGATACTGGAAGTCCAAGTCAGAGCAATTACACAAGAAAAAAATAACAAAAGGCATTGAAATTAGAGAGGAATAAGTAAAATTGTTTTTGACATGATGTGATATGACCTTGTATAGAGAAAATCCTAAATACTCTACCCAAAAAACTATTCGATCTATAAATCAAATTCAATAAAGTTTTAGAATACAAAATCAACATACAAAAATTAGTTGTGTTTCTGTACACTGAAAATGAACTATTTGAAAAAGAAAAGAATCCTATTTACAATAGCATCAAAAAAGAGTAAAATACTTAGGAATAAATTAAACCAACATGATGAAAGATCTGTACACAGAAAACATTAGGCATTAATGAAAATAACCAATGAAGACACAAATAAATAGATATGTTTATGATTGAAGTAATTAATATTATTGTTTACACTATTCAAAGGCATTTATAGTATCAGTGCCGTCCCTATCAAAATTCCAATGGCATTTTTTCCAGAATAGAAAAAAAACAATCTTGAGAAAGAAGAACAAAAGTGGAGGCATCACACTTCTGATATCAAACTATATTACAAAGCTGCCGTAATCAAAACAGTATGGTGTGGGCATAAATATAGACATATAACTCATAAATTTATGCATATATAATTAGCTAATATTTGAGGTAGCAAGAATATTTAATAGGGAAAGGATGATTTCTTCAATTAATAGCATTGTAAAATCTTGTGATTCACATGGAAAGAATGAAATTTGACCCCAACCTTACGTCATGTACAAATATTAACTTGAAATGAAAATAAAGACTTGAAGCCATAAAACTCCTAGAAGATAATATGGGAAAAAAGCTTCTTGACAATGGTCTCAGCAATGAATTTTGTTGGATATGACACTAAAAGCATAGGCAAGGAAAGCAAAAATGAACAAGTGGTACTACATCAAAATAAAAAGCTTCTGCACAGCAAAAGAAATACAATTTTAAAAACCTGCAGAGTGGGAGAAAATATTTGCAAACCACGTATTTGATAAAAGATTAATATCCAAAGTATATAAGGAACTCATATAATTCAATAGCAAAAAAGTTTAATTTAATAAAATGAGCAAAGGACCTAGATAAAACATTTTTACAAAAAAAAAAGACATGCAAATGGCCTACAGGCATGTGAAAAGGTGCTCAGCATCACTAATCAGCAGGGAAATGCAAATCAAAACTACAATGAAATATCACCTTAGACCTGTTAGAATGGCTGTTAT